TTTGGAAGTTGGTTAGGGGTGATGGCGATGGTGGTCTAATCAGAGGACTTAAGGAGGCCTTACCAAAGGTTAATCCTCCTCTGGGCAGTATACTGTGGTTATGTAACTACTTGTCTCCGTTTATTGCCAATAATGGCAGAAGCCCTGAGGTGCTCAAGTAGAATGTTTTGGAACTCTGTTTTTGCCTTCTGTGACGACGACTACTAGTTTCCAAGGTCCGGACCAGTTTCTCTTCTCCCATGGAATCACTGGATGCCATGGCAGGGCTCCTCCCCAGCATTGTTTGGCCATGCTTTCTCTTGGGATTAAGACATACACAGTTTGTTTGTTTTTTGTGGGTTTTTTGTTGTGTTTTTTGTTTTTGTTTTTTTACAGATAGAGTTAGACAGTGAGAGAGAGACAGAGAGAAAGGTCTTCTTTCCATTGGTTTACCCCCCTCAACTGGCTGCTATGGCCGGGGCTACGCTGATCCGATGGCAGGAGCCAGGTGCTTCCTCCCGGTCTCCCATGCAGGTGCAGGGCCCAAGCACTTGGGCCATCCTCCACTGCCCTCCCGGGCCACAGCAGAGAGCTGGCCTGAAAGAGGGGCAACCGGGACAGAACCAGCGTCCATATGGGATGCCAGTGCCGCAGGTGGAGGATTAGCCATGTGGGCTGCAGCGCCGGCCCCAGACATACACGGTTCTTTGACGTCATACTGTGTACCTGTCCCTCTATGCAGCAGTGGAATAGGTGGTTGGCTGCTAGAAAAAAATACTATGGTGTCTTCTTCGGCTTCTCTCATGCCTCTCCCCACTCCCCAGAAATAAACAGACAAGAAGTCCCCTGTTACCCAGTACTCAGATCTGCATTCCTTGGTGCCCAGGTCTTACAGGTCATCAGACGGCCGGACCACCCCTCAGTTGGGCAGTGCCAACCCCTCTACCCCCCAGCCTGCCTCTCCCGACGTCAGCAGTAGCCACTCTTTGTCGGAGTTTTCCCACGGCCAGTCCCCTAGGAGCCCCATTAGTCCAGAACTGCACTCAGCACCTCTCACCCCTGTGGCTCGGGACACACTGCGACACTTAACCAGCGAAGACACCCGATGTTCCACGCCGGAGCTGGGACTGGACGAGCAGGTGAGGGACACTGCCTCCGCATGGGGTTGGTGAGCTGGGGGTGGAACTGGGGAGGCTCAGCACCTGCTAAGGATGGATCCATCTCATGACCCTCCCCATTTTGAGGGGACAAGGGATTACACTTGAAATTGACCGTCTGAAGAGAGGGTGGGGCTGTATTATTAAAAGGGTGCTGCTCACTGTGTGAGGGGTCTTCCTGGATTACTAAAGCAGCTAGATGGGACTGGGTGCTCACCAAGGCGATTTGTCTGCCCACAGTCCGTGCAGCCATGGGAGCGGCGCACCTTCCCCCTGGCCTACAGTCCCCAGGCCGAGTGTGAGGACCAGCTGGATGCGCAGGAACGGGCAGCCCGCTGCACTCGGCGCACCTCAGGCAGCAAGACTGGCAGGGAGGCAGAGGTGGCGCCCACCTCGCCTCCCGTTGTTCCCCTCAAGAGTCGGCATCTGGCGGCAACAGTCACAGCTCAGCGCCCGACTCACAGATGAGTGGGAAATGGGAATCTAAACAGACTCACTAACTATTGGCATTAAAGCTTCAGAAATCTCTGCGTTTGATATTCAAACATCATATGCCGGAAATTTTCACAGTTTTTAGTGAATTTAAGGAATTTAGATCCTACTTTGGTATTTTTTTCTTGTTTTGATTTTTGTTTTGTTTTTGTTTCCATGTTTTCTTGTCACACACCTGAGCACTTCCTCCAGTTGGCAAACAGAAGTTCAGGATAAGACCCTGCTGGCCTGGTCCTGGCGTAGCCTCTGCACTGTTGAATCACTGGACCTACGAAGTTAGATGATCACCCTTCTCCCTCACCCCTGTGGGCAGGGTGGAATGCCAAAAGCGCAGAGGGAATGGAAAGCTCCAGTTCAGCTTTGCCTTCTTAGGTTAGGGTGGGACAGAGCTCGGCACCCTGGGCTCTTACGCCTTCCCCTCTCATCAGTGACTTGGTTCAGCTCTGGCCAGGTCCCCATCTCCCACACCACGGTCTCCCCCCACCTGCCCGCTGTACTCCCTGAGCCCTCAGCTGGCAGAAAGCTGCTCCCTGTCACCCGTTTTCAGTTTCACTGCATTTGGCCATGTGCCATGACTCCTTCACTGTAACCTGGCTGCAGCTGCTCAGGTTGCCCCAGCCCGTCCCTCTGTACCCTTCCTTCGTGGCTCCCCCAAACGCCATGCACACCCGGTCCTTCCACTCGGAACGCACTTGCCTCCTGTGCTGCTCTGTGAAGGTGCAGTTAGGACAGCTGCACCTCTGTTCCCACTCCCCTGCAGGGGCAGCCATCTCTCCTGTGTGCTGTTGCTTTCACCAGCTGATCCACTCCTGTGTCAATTGGACTTTCCTCTTTCACACACCCCTTGCCTGTGGAACATCGTCTAGTCCTGGCTGTGGTTTCCATCCCTCCCCCGTTCCCTCCTTTGTTAACCTTGTGCCTGTCTCATGTATAATCACATCACCAAAGGGGGAGGGGGGAAGGACTTTTTTTTTTCCTGCCATTTTGTAATCGTATAAAAATAGTAGACAAACTGCTTAATGGTTGGGGTTTTTTCACAATTTTCAACATTAGTGATTTTTTTTTTTTGGTTCTGTTTGCAAGTTAAAGGGTTTGTCATTGTTTCTTTCAAAAACAATAATGCACCATATCCCTATGCATAAAGTGCTTCTTCTATTTATAAGGTTGAAAATTCTGAATAACCCTTTTAGCATTGTAAAAAAAATTGAAAAAACTGTATTTTGTAAATATTTTCTTTTCCTGCTTTGAGCTGTGTAATGGCAGCGAAACATGTAGCTGTCTTTGTTCTATAGAAATGCTTTTCTTCAGAGAAGCTGATCTTTGTTAATGTCTTGATTCTGTTCGCAAAGCACAGACTCGTGCTTAAAAAAAAGGAAGGAAAAATTGAAAAAAATAATAAAAAAAAGAGTTACAGAATGTTATGTATGTGCCGGGTGTTTCTTGGCGTGTCGGGCTGTGTGTGATAACTGGCTCTGAGTCGGGAGGTCTCTGTTCCGCCGTCACCTGGCAATCGCCAGTGAATGCACTGTGCTAGTTCCCGCTGCGGGGTGGGGCAGGGCGGACAGGGCGGACCGGGCATCCTGTAGAGCCTCTGCCTTTTCTTTTTACTGGGCTGAAGTGGCCATAGCCCCTCGGTGGTCCTTGTTCTCCAGTGAGGCCAGTGCTGTGATGCTGTGTCCCTAGGCTTAAGTTGCTTGCTCTTGGAGCTTTACTTCTCACATCAGTCAGTGGCTGGTCTGCACAGAGCCTGGGCTGGCGCCCACCGTGCTACCTGAGCTTACAGCATCTTTCTTCGAAGGAGGCACAGTGCTTGATTTTCTTGGTAGGAATGAGCAGGCCTCATTCTACCCCCTTCTCTGTTCTGTTTATGGCAGTCTAGCCAGAGAGAGCAGAGGCTGCCCGGTGAGGTGCCGCGGGCGGTGTGTGCAGAGGGAGCCTCTCTCAGGCTGGCCTCTTGCTGCCTGGGTCATCTTCAGTGGCCACCGGGGAAGGAGTAGAGGAGGGGAGGAAGAGAGGCTTTTGAAACTGGGTGTGAAAATCCAAGATTTCAATATCATGACCTTGATATGATCACCCAGGAATAATGAGATGGTGGGTCACTGTTTCACAGCTTGTCCTTTGTGGCATCGCTACAGAGAAGCTGTCTGGTGCCTCCGTCTTGGTTTAGCAGAACTGTTCTTCGGTCTGTAGTAAGGAGCCAGAGCAGAGCAGGGCAGCTGTATGAACCTAAGAGGAATCTAAGCTGCTCTCTCAGCAGACTGGCTTGGTGTTCTTCAGCTCCAGACTCCTGAACTAATTAAAAGCTGTTGTTCAAGGGGTCTTGAGAAAGCTCATGGAAAATGTGTTCTAAAACTACGCGCGGGTAGTTTGAACCTATCTTTTGATGCCATTTTTCCATGAACTTTGGAAGTAACCCTATGTACCTACCTCTGCCCTCAGGGTGGCACACAGTGGCACCCAGCTTACAGCTTGTTTATTGCCTTTCGAATTGCATAGAACCAAGAAGGTTTATCCACACCAGAAGGAAAGAATCAACTGGAAATGAACAAGTCTGAGAACTCTTTCACCCTCAGGGTCCCAGAGTGAGCATTAATTCTGATGCCTAGCTTTTGACAATATTGTCACTCTCTGTGATCTCTGTGAGGGTGTTGTTGTTGTGTTGTGTTTTGTTTTGTTTTTTTAGATTTATTTAGAGTTAAGGAGAGACAGAGAGATCTCCATCTGCTGGTTCACTCCTCAGATGGCCACAGTGGACAGGGATGAGCCAGGAATGCCATCCAGGTTTCCCACATGGGTGACAGAGGCCCAAGCACTCTGGCCACGTTTGACCGTGTGTTAGCAGGGAGCTGGATCAAAAGTGGAGCGGCCAGTACTTAAACTGGTGCCCATTTGGGATAGCTTTACTTGCTATACCACAATGCCGCTCCCCCTCCCCCATGCCCCGAGTTCTTTCAATAATGGGAAAGAACTGAAAATCACACATCCTGTGTCATTTTCTTGTTCTTAGAATCCATGAATGTGGCCAGCACTGTGGTGTAGTGGATAAAGCCACTGTCTGTGGTGCCAGCACCCCATATGGGTGCCATTTCAAGTCCCGGTTGCTCCACTTCTGATCCAGCTCTTTGCTATGTCCTGGGAAAGCAGTAGAAGATGGCCCAAGTGCTTGGGCTCCTGCAGCCATGTGGGAGACCTGGAAGAAGCTCCTGGCTCCTAGCTTCAGATTGGCCCAGCTCTGGCCATTACAGTCATTTGGGGAGTGAACCAGAGGATGGAAGACCCCGCTCTCTGTGCCTGTGAGTGATTCTGCCTTTCAAATATACAAATCTTTTTTTAAAAAAATGTGTAGTCTGTTAAAAAACCATGAATGCAGGCTTATTTAATCAGTCATAACTTTATTTCCAAATTCACTTTTACAGCAACAGTCAGTGTAAATCATTTGTTAAAACACACAATACACTATATGGACACTCACAGACAGGAAGCTAAGCTAAGCTGATTTCATGTCCCTCCCCCCACCCTCAAAATTACTGAAGAAATCATGGGACTTGCAGGTGCCAGAAATTGTCCTGCCCAGCATGGCAAATACATGGGCTAAGTCCATTAGGAGGTGAGACTCTGGGTCAGTGCCCAGGGCAACCCTTTCCAAAGCTGAAATCTGAAGTCTCGTGGAGCCACAGACCGTAGACAGGACAAGCTGATGGTCACCTCTGCCCTTGTCCCCACCTCTTGGCTTTACCTGGGAAACAAAAAAGGAAGCGATCCCAGCAGCTGCTGGGAGTGGGCTGCGTGGTCAAAGCAAGTGGGAGAATGGCCGTTGAGGGACAGATGGCCAGGGCCTTGGGGGAGGCGTGATGGTAGGCTTGAGACTCCGCGAGAGGGCCCAGGCCACTAGATCTCAGGTTCATTCCTACAACACGGCCTGGCTAGCAAGGGGCAGGGAACCAGCTAACTCCTGCCGCAGCTGAGACTTCCTCCCATCGGTAGAAAAGCCAGCCCCAAGGACCCGTGGCTCCATGGCACGCCACTCCCTGTGGCAAATGTGGCTGCGGTCGTAAAGAAAAGGGTTGCAAGGCAGTGTGCTGCACTCCAAGACTCCCTCTGCCCATGCTAACTTCTCTTACACTGCCCTCCCCCCTCCCCCCAAAGCACAGCAAGCAATTGCAAACAGGATACAGGCTCACCCAAGTGGGTTTCCATGGAACTAGTGATAAATTGAGAGCTTGAAGGAACCAGGTGTGGAGTGTGCCCCAGCTAACTCACCCAGGGACCTGGGACCTGGGCTCTGGAGGTGGCGGGGGGTGGGGGGGGCTGTTCTTTAAAGCCCCCCACCAGCCCCCCACCAGCACTGACCTGCTCTTTAGGCACAGGCGCTGCAGGAAGAGGACGCAGAAAAGGTACGAAAGGAAACGCAGCCAAGGTGGGCGGCGTGGGGGGGGGGCAGGTGTCTAATCACCGCCGAGTCCTGATGCCACATTTCTTTTTCTTCCTCAGGACTGTTCAGACGGCAGCTGGGACTTGGAGGACACTGGGGAGCCTCAGTGGAAAGTTCTGGGCCCAGACAGTTCTTGGCGTGGAGAGCTCTGTCCACCCAGCCCGCCAGGACTGCCTTTAACTATACCCAAACCAGAGGTGGCAGAACGAGGCCTGAGGCCGCTCAGCCCCGGCCCAGGCACTGGTGCAGTTGTACAAGGGGGTTGGGCTTGCCCAGGCCAAGGCTTTGGGGATGCTGTCTCCTGACTGGTCAGCCTCGCCGGTCAGGCAGCCCTGGCCTCGGGAGCCCATCCAGGCTGGGCAGCCATCCCGATCCCTGCCGCAGCTGAAGGGCCCTTAGGGGCTGCAGATCTCTCCCCCAGGAGCACCTGGCGTCCTCTTCCTCCATCAGGACTGCCTAGGCCTCCTCCAGGCTGTGAGCAGAGAGGACCAGCTTCGAGCCAGCACAGCGCACTCCGGCCTGAGGCAGGGAGCCCTGGTGGGGACGCCAGGGTGCCCCATCGTGCACTCTGCGGCTGAGTCCTCCTCAGGTGGCAGAAGCTGGTCTCCGCTGCGTCCCAGGTGCTGACGTAAACGTTTCAGAACTTGGGAGGCGCCCGGCAGAGCATAGCCACACAGGCTTCCTGGAGCCAAGTCCCAGCATGGGGGCGAGCCTTCCAGCACACCGGTGAGGGCGGATTAGAAACCTCCGCAAGAGCATTTCAAGATGCATGCGTCCTTTTTTGTTTTTCACTACCACAGTCACTCTGGTGAGTCCAAGCATAGACAGACAAATCCAACTAGAGCGTGACAGGTGCAGGTGGGAGGGAAGGGCAGGTCTATGGACATGGTCAGCTGCTCCAGCAGAGCTGGGACTCGGGGGAGAACCGTTTCCGGGGGGCGTGTGGCTGGTAATATGCAGGTGGAGTTGGACAGCAGCTGGGCTCCGGGGAGGCAGGCAGTCACAGCTGGGGTGGAAGCAGGGGGCAGGCAGGAACGTGGTGTTGCCCTGCGAGCCCTGCCTGTGCACCTCGGGGCCATCGCTGGCAGCCAGGCCTGACGGGGGAGGGCACTCTCCAAGTGAGGAAGCCATGGCCCACCACCCCACCCCCACCCCCGGCTCACCTGCGCACGGTCAGCTGGGTGGTTGTGGGAGGCACCTGACTTGGAGCAACAACCTGAGGTTGAACCCCAAATTCACTCTACAGTAGTGCCTTCCACAGCCAACCTGTGTCCGTGACTGGGGGTGGGTGTGGCAAGTGTCTCGGGACAGGGTGACATGAGGGGACAGGCAGTGACTGGGCTCTCAGCAGCAGACACATAGGCAAGATGGGATGGCCAGGGGGGCTACAGTGGCCCTGGGAGGGATGGGAGGCTCAGGACCCATGTCCCAGAGCACCTCCCTCTTCAGAGGCACCGGAAGCCTAGGCTTGGGTTCCTCAAGAGGCACAAGTCCTTAAAAAGAGAACTGGTTAGCCCTAAAGTCCCAGGTCTGTGAGGTGGCCAAAATCGTGGCTTGCAGGTTCCAACCTTCAGAACTATCTCCGTGGAGGGGAGGGACAGCTGCCCAGGACTCCAGCCCGCAGATGGGAGGCAGCGGCCAGCACACCGGAACAGGCATCAAGGTCAGTGTGATCCACAGGTGCCACCCTCCCGCCCCCCTCCCTTCTGCCCACTGTCTCCGCCTGCGGCCGTGCTCTAGAGCAAGGGACACCCACCCAAGGCAGACTCCAGGCCACCCAGACCGGGAGGCCACGGGGTCTGAGATGGGGGCTCCCCCGGTGCCCAGCAAAGGGCAGTGTCTGCTCTCCCCACATCCTTCCTCCCCAGCCCCACCCCCGCCCCTCACTCTCAAAGTGGCCATCCTCTGTGGCTCCACGAACACCACCAAAGTTTAAAATCCTGTGTTGCCACCGCTGCCTCTGGGTGCCCCCAGGATGGGAACAGAGGCAGCGGGCGCCCCTGTGCCTTGAAATTTCCCAGCAGCCACTTTCAGAGCTGCTCCTCCCACATCTACTCAGAGGGGAAGACAAAAGAATCAAAAGGAACTGCCCGAGAAATGCTGGGAGTGGCCAAGGTTTCCACATGTGTTTCAAACTGTTTTATTATGAGCCCCCATTAATTTGGAAATTTGCTCTCACTCCCATCACTGGTTTTGAAGTCCCAAGCCCAAGCCGAGTGACGAAAGCAGGGCAGGTGATGAACCAATTAACCCATCTGTGAGGAGCAGCCGGGGAGGGCAGAGGGCGGAGGGCCAGGTCATTACGCTTTTTCCCCACACTCTCACTCTCTTCTCTCCGCGGCCATAACCGCCCCGGAGGCCCGATCACAAACCCTGCTTGGCCAGGGAGGCGGACACCTCGTCGGCTAGCGTGGCAAGCTGGGGCGAGTCCACCATGTCGATGCTGCCGGTGGAGGACACGTTGCTGAGGTGCCGCGGAGACGTGTCCCCAGACACCACCGGCGACTTGTACACAATTTCCGCTCCGTGGTCTGTCTTGGCTTTGGCGTTCTCACGGAAGGTCAGCTTGTGGGTTTCGATCTGCAGGGAGAAGGGGAGGGTGTGGGAGGGCCGGGAGGGGGCACTGAGCCCTGCCGCCACCCCCACCTCCACCCCAGGGCCAGCCTGTGGTGCCTGTGGCCTCCCGGAGAGATAGCGTGGCAAGTTTCTTGTGTACCCTCCAGACAGTGCGCACTACTAGGTCGCAAGGCGTGCCTGCTTCAAACGAAAGTGTGGATGGAGGATCTGCAGCCCCATGGACACCCAGCCGCAGGCCACGCCCATTCTTTCCCTTGCCAGTGGGAGACTGAGGGAGCACCCACAAGCAGCCAGGACTACCAGAGGATACTGGGAAATCTGGAAGCAGGAAGCACGGGCTGGAGCAGTGAGTGGTGCAGAACACCTGCTCTCCTTACGACCCGAGTAGCGGCCCCAGGACTTCTCCACCTGCGCTGACAGTAAGAGGTCTGTGTTCTCGGAGCACCTTGGAAAAGCAGATGCTGCCCGAGCAGATGTGTGCGGGCACCTGCACTTCCGTGCCGTCACAGGGGCCTGTGGACCCCAAGAGCCCTTGTTGCCGGGGCCTGACTGGGGGCACTCAGGAAAGCTGGTCTTGTTGAAGGCAAACGCGTGTTTTTGTTCACTCGGGGTCGGTGCCTTGGAAGCAGGACCCTTTCCTGTCACCGCACTGGAGAGGCCATGTGTAACTTTGAGAAGAACATTAGGTGAGTATTTTCTGAAGCTTTGTTTCTTGGGACCGGAATTGTGGCGCAAGGGGTTAAATGGCTGCTCGGGTGTGGGTGTGGGTGTGCCGGCACGGAGACCACCACTGCCTCCAGTCCACTTCCTGCTGCTGTGCACCCAGGGAGGGTCAAGAAGTTGGGCCCAGGAGACCGGGATGGAGCTCCTGGCTCCTGGCTTGGGCCTGGCCCAGCCATGGCTGCTTGTGGGCATTTGGAACATGAACCAGCCGGTGGAAGATCTATTTCTCTCTCTCTCTCTCTCTCTCTCTCTCTCTCTCTCTCTCTCTCTCTCTCTCTCTCTCTTTCTCTCTCTCTCTCCCCCCTTCTCTCCCTCTCTGTCACTCAGATTTTCAGATAAATAAATAAAACATTTTAAAACTTGAATTGTTTCTTAAGAAAAAAATGGCAGATTCCTGGGAATATCCAAAAATTCCCCAAAGTGAGAGCAACCCAGGAGGCTGGTTGTACGCTCCACTGCTTGCTGGCAGCGTTGCTCAACACCCCAAGGAAATGCAGACGGTACCCAAAAGGGATCCTCCGGGACCTGGATGGGGTCTTCTGAGAGGGGCAGGCCCAGCCCACCCTGTCTGAGTGTCTCAGAAGATAGGTTAGGAACAGAGGAAAGGTGGGCATTTGGCATGTGGGTTAAACCATCATTTGGGATGCCCACCTCCCATCAGAGTGCCTGGTTCCAGTCCTGGCTACTCCACTTCTGATGCAGCATCCTGCTAACGCATACCCTGGGAGGCAGCAGTGACACGTATGGGGGACTTGCCTGGGAGATCGGGGTTGAGTTCTAGGCTCCTGGCTGCTGGATTTGGGAAGTGAACCTGCACTTCGAAAACGTGTCTCCACCTGTCCTACTCCCCTCCGCCTCCGCCACCTCTCTGCCTTTCAAGTTATATATATTCCAGACACGGCAAAGCCCTTCCTTCACTCACCCAGAGGATCAGACGCTGACTTTAGGCCCAATCCAGACCCTAAAGTGCTGCAGTCCAGTGGCAGAGCCCTGGGCTTGGGCAGAAAACCTGTCCTCCCCCCAGGAACGGCGCTCTTCCCCCATGCCCCTGGGGGCACGCCAGCTCCTGGCCCCCATGCTTTCTCACTTCTAGCGGTGGTTGGCACAGAGCACGCCTGCACCTGTGTCTGCAGACGCACCATGGAAACGTGAGTTCCACGCTGGGGTCCGAGAGGGCCTGGGAGGGGGCTATGACGTGGGGATCCAGGGACTGTAAGGCTCCTCTCCCACCAGCTCTCCCCAGAAGCGGAGTGGGCTGCCTGCTGCACACGGCACACGCATGACCAGGGTGTCTGCCTCTCCAGAACCAGAGCATAGAGGTGAGCACGCCGGGGAGGGGTGGGGGCTGCAGCAGGTGCAACACCCACCTTGGGACGTCCCTGCTCCCTCGGCCACTCCCCGGGCAGCTGGAAAGAGCCAGAGCCACTTCCAGCGCGTGTGGGCAGGTGGGGAGCCCAGGGCCGCATCCACGCAGAAGAGGGCATGGCAGCCCCCGGCTCACCCTCAGGGCCCCTCCCTCTCCCAGCCTGGACACTCCAGCAGCTTCCGTGTGGGCACTGCCGTGGCAGGCTGAGGCTTGGCTGAGAGCTGGATTGCATCATCACTCTTTGCTCGGTAACCCATTTAGAGAACTAGGTTATGTTCCTGGGACTTGCAGGCACCCCAGGGCTGGCTGGGGCGTGGCTTCTCACCTCCACCTCCGTGGTGTTTGCCAACGCCAGGGCCTACAGCTGATTCCTCCAAGGAGCTTCAAAACTCCAGGATCGCCTGGGAACTTTGAAAGCACTGGATACTGGGGCTGGCGTCATGGCAACGCTGGCATCCCCTATCAGAGCGCTAACTCAAGTCCCGGCTGCTCCACTTCTCATTCAGCTCCCTGCGTAATGTGCCTGGGAAAGCAGTGGAAGATGGCCAACTGCTTGGGTCCCTGCAACCTGGATGGAGTCCTGGCTTTGACCTGGCCCAGCCCCAGCTGTTGCAGCCACTTGAGAAATGAACCAGTGGATGAAGCTCTCTGACCCCTGTCGCTCTGTCTTTCAAATAAACAAACAATAAGACCAGTCGGACAGCAGCTCCAGGTTGGGGCCAAGGCATCAACCTGGCTAAAGCTCCCAGGGACTGCAGGGGCCAGCGAGGGCTGAGACGCCACATCCAGCAGGCACTAGGAGAACCTCCGCTTTCCTCCCAGAAAGACAGGGATGAACCCCACACCCAAGGCAGCCTCCCCCGCCCCACCCCGCCCCCTACCTTTTTATTTCCTCCACCAGGGACATGGGTGATGTTATCCAGGGACCCAATCTTCGACTGGACTCTATCCTTGAAGTCCAGCTTCTCAGATTTCACCTCCACCTGGCCACCTCCTGGAACGAGACACACACGAGCCACCTGCCACCTTTTCCGGCTCTTGGTGGACCCCGCACACCGGGAGGGAGGGCTGCAGCCCCCAGACAAAGGTCGCACTCCGCTGCTCAGCAGTGAACAGGAGCAGCGTAAGTGTAAGCGGCTCAGATACAAAGGCCTGGAAACGGTCGGCCTCTCTCTCCATCAAGGTGTGTGTCAAATATTTTCTCTGCCAACTCTTCCTTCTTGGCCAACGCAATGCTAAGTGGCAGCCCGGGCCAGGAGAGAGGATTGCAAATCCTCAATCGCTAGGCTGCCCGCGAGTCTTTCCTCACGGATGCCCTGTCGGCCACAGCCCCAGCCCCAGCCCCAGCCCCTGAGGACCTGAATACCCAAGTGCACACTCAGGAAAGACCCGGATGCTTTCTCTCTGCGTGACCTTGAGCCGCACCCAGGTGTGGGAGCTGTGCCGGAGCTGTCTGGCAGGACTTCCTGGAGAAACTCCCCAGAGCGCGCGGCCAGTTTGCACTGGGCGGGAGCAGTATCCCGGGAACCACATTCCTGACCGCGCCTCCAGAGGCCGCCTCCCCCAGTGAAGGCGCCAGACCTCCGACTGCGCCCACAAGGGGGCGCTCACATTTCCATTAAAGGAGCTCCGTCCCGCCCCCGCCCTGGCCATGGTCCAGGTGCTCTGTGGCACCCGAGCTGGGCAGCGACAGAGAGAGGCCTCGCTGCTGAAAGGTCTCGGGGGGGGGGGTCCAGCTGCATCATTTCTGTGTAAGCAAAGTCAGAGCAGCAGTGGCGCAGGGGTCTCCGGTGGTAGCTGGTGCAGCTGGCAAAGCGTCCCCGTGTTGGGACCAGATCGGGTCCACGGCCAGCCTCCCTCCTCCCTGGTGCTGGCCAGCGTGGCCCTGCTGGGGCAGCCACACCTCCCAGGCCCTAAGGCTCTCCCGACGGTACGTCCGTCCGAGAGACCTCGTCCCCAGTCCCGCCCGCCGTGTACCTAGCACCCTCCCCCCCACCCTGCGGGCTCCCCACCTGGTTTGTGATGGATGTTGCCCAGTGAGCCACACTTGGAGGTCACCTTGCTCAGGTCGACGGGTTTGTAGACGATTTGCACCTGGGGATGAGAGTGCGGGAGAAGGAGGGAGACAAAGCAAACAGGATTATTCCTTGTGGGCGTGGCACAATGAGAAGCAGCTGTGTAAGCCGGGCCCTGCGCACTCCGCGGCTCGGGCGGCCGGCCGTGAGGGACACGCCCTCCGTGGGGAGGAAAGAATGTGTTGCTAAGATTCTGCCAGCCCTGCCCGGGGCAGCTGAGTCTTCACAAGCTAACAGAGGGGCTGGGGGCTGCAGTCCCTGCACAGCCCGAGACCCTGGGGGGCAGACAGGGACGCTGCCCAGCGCGGCGGACACTCACATGTGGAAGCCACTCCCCTCACACTCCGCGGACCACGAAGAGGTCAGCACACTCAGCAGGGCCACGTTTGGCTGCAGCCGCTGGGCAGAGCTTATTCCAGAAGCTTCCCCAGGCCCAGAACCCCCACAAGAGAAGTGCGGGTAACAAGCAGGACCCTGAGCAGCCTGGTGACCCGGCTGAGAGCCAGCCGGCGCCTGGGCACCCAGTGTCCCGGACATTTTAGTTTTTACCAAGACAGCAAGCGACACGGACAGAACAGGCACCACAGTTAGTGTCTCAGCGAGCTCAGTAGGCCTGGTCCTAGAGGCCCGCACTCGGTGGGGAATGACGGCCCCCACACTGCCCGCTGGTCCCAGCCCAGGACCACACAGTGGTGGACCGGTCCCCGGGGACACTGCCCAGGCCTCATGTGGGGTCATCAGAGGGTGCAGAAGCCCATTGCCACTAGCCACTGGCTCCTGCTCCCTGTCCCGGGGTTACCCCAAGAAGGTGGCCTTGCAGCTGAGATTGGGTTTGTCAGGGTCACCAGAAAAAAAGGATGGACTTTTACTTGGGTGCAAACTGGATTGACCCCAGATCACTGTAGTTGGTGAAAGCCAGGCCGGCACTTACAGGGGTGTGGGGGGGGTGCAGAGGTGGCGGAGGGGGAAGCAGGGGAGGAAGGTGGGCACCAGGGCCGTGCTCAGGCAGACAGGAGGCCAGGAGGGGCAAGAACAGACCCCTGAAGCAGCCGGGGGGGCCCAGGAGGAGCAGAGTTGGGCCTGCCCACTGGGCTGTCCTGTCCCGGCTAGGGAGCAGACCCGGGACCCAGAGGCTGTCGGTGGGCAGGGCTAGTGACCCCAAAGGCTCTCCCTGTGATAGCTTTCTGTAAGGCCCCTGCAGACAGCAGTGGCCACCAGCCACGGCCATGCACAGGGTCAGCCTGGGGTTTCTGTGGTTATCTGCAGGTCATGGCTAGCCCATAGGCTGGCACAGTGCAGGACACGTGGGAGGGGTGGTCGGTCACCCATCACAGCGGGCGGGGGAGGGCCAGGCTGCCCACGGGCTCCCTCTTCCCAGCATCCACCTGCAGGACCCACACAGCCAGACTCCACCTTGTTCTCTGGGGGAGGCCAGAGAACAGGGGTCAGAACTCGAACCACTGCCCAGAGCAACTGCACTCGGAGCCAGTGACGGCGGAGCACCGGCTGGGGTCCTCACAGCTCTGCTCTGGGCAGAAGGCAAGGGGTGGGGGTGGACAGGAGGCGGGGAGGGGGGACAGAGGAGACACGGAGCAGACACGTGCGGAAGCACAGGAAGCCCCATGCAGCAGCCGCAGGGCGAGCGCCGGCCTCGGGGAAGCGGCACAGTCATTGCAAGAATAAACTCTGGGCGGGGCTCGGGCCGAGCGCAGCAGAGCGCAGCACTGAGCAGAGGAGCTGGCTCTCAGAAACCAACCGCCTCCAGGGGGACCCCAAGGATCTCAGCGCTCCGCTCCCCAGGGCATAGAAGCTTAGGGCTGGGGCAGTGAGGTGGGAGCCTGGGAGGAACAGGGTCCCCACGTGTCGCTCAGCCAGGACAACGCTACATGGGCGGGTGGCGAGTTAAGGCTCCCATCCCCTGCCTGTGTCACTGAGGACGCAAGGGGGTCCCCGGGGACACCGGAGAAGCCAAGTGGAAGAGCGCCCCCACAGCGTGTCTCCCCAGATCTGCACTGTGGGAAGGGCCACCTGCCACGCCTGGTTTGGCCTCAGCCAGAGGGAGGGGCTGCTTTTAAACAGAAGCCCAGCGGCTTAGGCATCAGCTCCTCCCTCAAAGGCGCGGGAGACCTAGGGTGCGCAGGCGCAACCCTTCTCCCTGGGGTAGGCAAGGTAGAACGCAGGGTCCACATGGCACGCCCAACAGGCCGCTGTCCCCAGGGAGCCCCTCAAAGTGAACCTGCAGGGGGTGGGGAGCAGCAGGTGACAGCTGAGGCGCAGGCGCCGCCGCCAGGCTGCGGAGGCCCAAGGAGCCCAGGGCCAGGACCTGGGGAGGCGTCTCTGGGAGCAGTGGACACACATGGAGATGTGGGGGACCCAGGCCGCTTTATTCTGTGCAATGTCTCGCGAGCGTGCGCCTCGGGCCGCTGGCGGGGGAGCGGGGAACGTGTGGCGGTACTCACACTGCCGCCTCCGGGGACGTGTTTGATATTATCCTTTGAGCCACACTTGGACTGGACGTTGCTAAGATCCAGCTTCTTATTAATTATCTGCACCTTTGATAGCCAGAAAAAAGGATGAGTGACACAGCACACCCAAGGCGGTCTGGGGCGGGACGGGCGGCTGAGCCACACCTCCAGGGCAGGGTCTTCGGCGCGCAGAGATGGACTCGGGGTATCGGGGTGGGGCGGGAGGCAGGCGTGCTGAGCGGGTGACTGGGTACGAGCGCGGAGCCCTGGCAGCCGCACTGACCCAGCAGAGGCTTCCTGTGGCCTCAGAGGCACCCGGCTTTCCAAAGTCCACAGCCCACCCCCTCCAGCATTAGAATCTTGGGAGAGTCTGGTTTAAGGCTGCAAATTTGCTCCCCTGGCGCCACGCAGAGCCCAAGGCCGCGTGGGCGGGACAAAAATGCAGGTTCCTGGGTCCTGCCTAGCAGGTGTCACTGCGCTCTCTGAGCGGGGGGTGACCCATGGGTCCCACAGAGCAGACAGGTGCGGCAGGGTCAGCGTTCCCGGGACCCGGCACTGGGAGGCAGGGCGCCCAGGCTCTTAGAACCCACCATGTATGTAATGGTGGCCGCAGCCCCCAGCCAACAACCAGCAGATCCACCTGGGCGGGGGGCGCCGCGGCTGGGGGCCTGGGCCCCGACCTGCCTCCAGCCCTCGCCCTACATCCGTTGCGTGATCTGAATCTGAAAGTCACCTATGCTCACCTATGTCATGTTTTCATAGTCCTTTCAAAAATACTATGTGTTCCTCATTAGAAAACAAAAAGTAGGATTCTGAAAGTAAACCAATGTTCTCAGCACCTTAATAAAAATCACTACTGCAGCTTGTTGCATTGCGACCCCTGGACGCGCTGCCCACCACTGGACACGCTGAGACGGTGCAACCACCGTGCACCTCCCACGGCACACCCCGCACTGCCGGGAGCAAACAGCGCCACAGCACACCCTACATGTTCCCGATGCCTTCCAAGCAAGTCTTATTCTTTTTAAAAGTGTATTTGTGGGCCGGCGCCGCGGCTCACTAGGCTAATCCTCCGCCTTGCGGGGCCTGAAGCACTGGCATCCCACATGGGCGCCGGTTCTAGTTCTGGCTGCTCCTCTTCCGATCCAGCTCTCTGCTCTGGCCTGGGAAAGCAGTGGAGGATGGCCCAAGTCCTTGGGCCCCTGCACCCATGTGGGAGACCCAGAGGAAGCTCCTAGCTCCTGGCTCCTGGCTTCAGATCGGCGCAGCTCCGGCCGTTGCGACCATCTGGGGAGTGAACCATTGGACTGAAAACCTCTTTCTCTCTGCCCCTCCTCTGTGTAACTCTTTCAAATAAATAAATAATTTTTTTTTAAGTGTATTTGTGGGGCTGGCAGACGCCTCACAGCCACGCCTGGGCTGCTCTCAGAGCATGTGCTTCTTAAACCCAACACAACCAGTACCCGTAGGCAGCCCAGTGAAACTGGACCGGCAATGTGGAGACAGGACCCCACTGGGGGGGCTCTCTCATGGCCATCACCCTGCGTGTGACATCTGTGAGTCACTTCCTCCCATCTTCAGATACTAAGGGGTCTCGTGTGACCTCCTCCTTTGGGGGCAGTTTTTTTATTTGCCATTTTTTGGTTCAGTAAGTCCCAGAAGCAGATTTGCCTACTTTCAAAAAGAACAGGAGCAGTTCAGGAAAAAAAAAAAAAAAAAAACTAAAACAAAAACCACACACAATAATAAAGCAAAAAATTTCAGTGATAATGTTAAAAGGCCTTCAATTTGTCAATTACGAGACTGTTACATAGAGCCCTGAGCTCCCTGGAAGCCAAGGCAAAAAAGGAAACACCAGGGGCTGGGAAACACTCTTGGTTTGAGGAAGAACCCTTAGCAGGTTTTCAAGGAAGATAACCTTGCCGTGGGGACTGAGCCAGAGAGCCTGGGCATGCACCAGGCCGGCCATGCACACAGAAGTGGTTTTCCATGTGCCTCTCCCTTTCCCCAGCCCCCCAGACCCTTGGTGAGCTGTGGCTAGAGACAGGATGTCTTCAAGGCTGACCTGAACACCGAGCCGGCACCCCCCAGGAGGGGCAGAGCCAAGGTGTGTAGCCTGGGACCCCCGTCGGAGGGGCGGTGTCGGTGCCCAGAGTTCTGCCCTGGAGAAGGCACTGCGGGCGCCGGGGCCGCGTCTACTTCAGGATCACGCATTTCCTGGAAGGCCCGGAGCAGCCCTGAACGCTCGGCTTGCCTGGATCTGGCTCCCCAAGCCGGAACCCCGAGTCCCCGTCCAAGCGGTCAGCCTGCACCTGTGTCAGGTCCGCTGGGCAGCGAGGGGACGGAGCCGAGGGGGAGGGGCCGTCAGCAGCCGCTGCCCCCGTCCCAAACTCCCTTACAGCCGTTTGCAGCACACCGCACAGACGAGACCTCCCGAAAGCTGTGACGGGCTGCGTGCGTGCGTACCTGTGTGCGAGGAGCATCCCGGCCTGGCTCTGCCCGGCCCTTGGCGGGGCTCACAGCCTGCACCTCTGCCCCAGTCCACTGAGTGGCCACGGGAGAGGCCAGCTCTGCCAGCTAGAGTCCAGCCTGCAGTGAAAGAGCCCGCCAGCTCTCTGGGATGGCCAGCGGTGAACGAGACAGGGCGGGGAGGAGGGAAAGCAGGTCCGAGAGCCGGGCAGGAGGAAGAGGAGGCGAGCGCCGGAGCCGGAGCCGGGGCGCCACAGAGGGAGGAAAGCAACCCCCAGATGCAGAGAAGGAAGCGGGGCGGAGCCGGCTCCTGGGCAGGTGCCCCACGTTGCCAGCCTCCCACCGCCACCTTGTGGCCACCTAGATTATTGCCGCCAGTCCCTGTCCTTTCCCTGTCCCTCCTGGGCTTCCAGGTTCTGTTTAGGCTTGGGCCTTCACATCCTCAGAGGTGACTTAGCGCCACTGCCCAGAGCCCAGCAGACCACCCACTCCGTGCCCCTTCCTGGCCATGCGCCTGCACTGCCCCTGTGGGCCTGGGCAGCCCCGGGACTCCTGGCCTTGCAGGCCCAAGGGTGCCCGGGACTGCCCTGGGGGTCCCTAGGAAGCACACACACAGGCCCCTGAGGCCCTGCCTGCTGCCCCACAACTCCCACACCCCCTGCCTCTTGGTCAACTCTGCCAACCCTCCCCGCAGGTCCCCACAGCCTGCCCACCTCGGCCCCAGGACCCTGACGCTGGAGCCACACGGGCCCTCACCACCCTGTCTCTCTTGCTCCGTCCCAGCCTCTTGGTGGGGCCCTGCCTGTCCGTCTGGACCTTCCTTGGCTCCCTAAGCTCTGCCCCCACAGCCCCTCCAGGCCCAGCTTCCTTTCACTTTTGCTCTGAAACCCTCCAGGCTGTGGTTTCCCATGATCCTCTGGGCACAGGGTGTGCAGCCCGCCCTGTGAGGCCACCAACAGTCGCAATCGGGGGTCTGTGTGCTTGGATCTGTGGGGGACACCCTGCGGCACAGGTGACCCAGCAGCCTCTTGCCGAGCTCCCCCGTCTGCCACGAAGCCCCTTCCCATCTGCTCACCTCTCCCCTGCCCTGGGCCTCGGGCCAGGTCTTATTTATTTGAAAGGCAGAGCTTCCATCTGCTGGTTCACTCCCAGCCCCTGGGACATTTGGGGAGTGAACAGCAATGCAAAACAGCAGGAAGCCACCCCTGCCCTGTGGCTCTCCTTGGCTGCCAGGGCCCGCCTGGCAGGGATGCGCACCTGTGGCTGGGCAGGGGCCGCGAGCCCCATCCCACATCAGGCCCTTCCTTCCCTCAGTTGTGCAGTGCCTCCAGCCACCCGCCTGCTCCCTGGTGTGGCCCAGTGACTGTCTGCATTTTCCTTCCAAGCTCATTTCCCTGTGGGCCTCGTGGCAAGCGGCAGAGAGACAACGGGCCTGGGCCTGGGGGAGGCAGGGCTCCCCGACTCGGCTCAGGGTGGCTGCAACAGTCTTCACTCACAGCTTTGTCCCTTTTGTAGCCAAACAAGCATTGAGCACTTGCTGTATGCGGGGCCACAGGGACCCAGAGATCTGAGCGTGGCCCTGAAGAACCTTCCAGTCCAGAAGGGGTGGCGGGAGACCCCTGGGGGCCTCTCTGGGGCTTCACCCCCTCCCTGGCGCTCGGTTTCCCTCCTCTCCCTACTTCCTGGACAGGAACATGTAGGGCGGCGGCGGCTGTGGCTGAGGTCTCCCAGCTGCCACAGATAAGTCAGTCCTGCCTGCGCCCTGCCCTGGGGACACCTGCCTGCCCCTCCCCCCCACACACTGGCGGGGCGGCCCCAGGGTGCAAGGGGCAGGTCTGGCCTGGCCCCCAGAGTCATCTTCCCCAGCAGAACTGCTGACCTGGGCCACAGGGCACCCCCGCAATCCAAGCCCGCCTCAGGTGGCCCAGGGCTTACAGGGAGCGCCTCGCACACCGAGCTGAGGCTTCCGTCCCCAGCAACCTGAACTGCTGACTCACGATGGGTTAAACCAACAGTGAGGACGCTGGAGATGGCCCTGCCCTCCATTATCACCCAGACCACGGGCTCACAGGGATCAAGGGTCCCGGGGGCTTTGAGAAGACCCAGGGGGAATCTGGGGAGACTTCTTCAAGGAGCGCTTCTGAACTTGGGTCTTGAAGAAGAGGAAGAGATAAAGACAGAAAGGGAGAGGCACTCCTGGCTGATGGAAAGAGCAAGCAGGCTGTGGGCAGAGAGCTCCCTGTCCAGCAGAATGCAAGGAAAGATAAGGCTGGACCAGAGGTGCAGCCGAGAACCCGGAGGCAGGAACAGGGGTGGTGAGAGAAGGGATGGGACGGGACGGGGTGCGGCAGAGGCTGGCGTGGGATCCAGGGCTGGGGTGACAGCAGGGTTGCTGTGTCCACCCCAGGGGTCACCAAGGGGTGGTAGAAGCAGGATGCTGGGGAGGGAAGGGGATGGGAAAAGTGGTTAAGGTGCCCCATAGTCCAAAAGCAAAGCCAAGGCCCAGTGCCCCGGGGGCGGCCCAGGCCCGGAAAAGAGCTCCGAAGGTCACATCTGAGATGTTATGGGGCCTCACAAGTCAGCAGACACAGCCCATGGTGGAGCTCAGCCCCTGGAGAGCCAAGCCATCCAGGCCGGACCACTGCGGGGGCGGAGTGGGGAGGGGCAGGTCCTTCCTGCCACCAGGGGGCACCAGAGAGGCTCAGCTCCCTCCCAGGCCAGGGAACCAGGCGGTGTCCTCATGGCCACATGACAGACGCTGTTCATCCCTGCCTTGACTGGGCAGGGTTGGGTGAGGGTGCAAGGCAGGCATGCGTCCTGTCTCTGGCTGTCCTTCTATCCCTGACGGTGCAGGCACTGGGGTCCCAGCGGCTGTGTGGGGGCTGCGTGGGGAGCACTCACACAGCCACTTGCGGTCTCCACAAAGTGGGACAAGTGGCTGTGTCCAGTGTGGTTTGTCCCCTTCAGTGCCGAGGCAACCGGTCAGGTCACACTGAGTGCCCAGGGTGGGCGTCGGTCTCCAGGGACACTGTCCCAGCACCCAGGAACCTGGCTTCACAGAGGCCAACACTTGCCTGCAACAGCCCCTCCCCCAAGCCCCTTCTGCAAGGGGCAGACCCCACGGAGGCATACACAGGCGCCACAGAGTCGGAGGAGTGGGCTCGGCCCAGCCTGGGGTCCAGAGACCCAGGTCACATCCCTGAGACCTGGCACTTGGCCTCACCCAGCCCCTGCCTGGAGGAGGGGCAAGACCCCTGGTGCCCACTGGTCCCAAGAGGCTGCCTAGGCTGCCCCGCTAGGCAGGACCCCCTCACTTATGGGAAAGGCCAGTGGGGGCTGACAGCCCGTGGGGAGCAAGGTGCGGGGAATCGGGAAGGCGCCCCCTAGGGACAACCCCGCCAGCGCCCGCTCACGGCCTGAGCACCCAGCCCAGCACAGTCCTGGCCCAGTGCACCCCACACGAGCCTCCTCTCCCTCCACGGTCTGCCCCGGTGTGGCATGGGGGGCGTTGCGAGCTGAGCTGTCTCCACCCCAAGTTTCTACGTTCAGGCCCAACTCCCAGCAGCTTCATCTGGAAACACTGACAGGGAACCGGACACACACGGGGACAGGAGCTGGCCTGGGGGAAGCCTGCGTGGAGGAAGGCGCCACCTGCAGGCCAAGGAGAGGAGCCCGGCGGCTCAGCCCTGCCGGCACCCTGACCACAGCCCACAGCTCCGGCTCTGCCCCTGTCCCACCAACTCCCGCAGCCTCACGCCTCGTCGAAGCCGGGGGCGCCGCCTGCCTGCAGGATTCAGTTGCGGTACACAGAGGCACAGGACAGAGGGAACCCCAGGGTCTCGTCTCCCCTGGGCGCGCACCCCCACGGCCCCCCGCACCCTTACCCCTTACCTTCCCACCGCCTGGCTGGTGCTTCAGATTTTCGGTGGAGCCGATCTTGGACTTGACGTTCTTCAGGTCTGGCATGGGCACAGGCGCCGTCTGCAGGCGGCTCTTGGCGGAGGACGGCGACTTGGGCGGAGTGCGGACCACTGCCACCTTCTTGGGCTCCCGGGTGGGCGGGGTGGGCAGGGATGGAGTACGGGAGCGGCTGCCGGGGGTCCCGGGGGAGCCGGGGCTGCTGTAGCCGCTACGGTCCCCAGATTTCCCCGATTCACCTGGGAGGGAGGAAGGCAGTGAGGTCAAGGCTCAGGCACACGGGGGTCAGCAAAGGCCTTGGAGCCGCCGGTCCTGGAGCTCCTTCCAGCCTCACCATGGGATGGGGTCCAGGAAGCTCAGCCACGCCCAGGAGGAAGCCCTGCACCCATTCTGAGCGGCACCTCCTGCTCCTGCCTCCTCCCAGAGGCACGGAGACCCCTCACTTCCCAGTGGTCAGCAAGGACCGCCTGGGACAGGACCAACTCTGCCCTGCAGCCCCGGGGTCGGGAGATGGGCTCCAGCTAGCCATGTGCTCCCAGCAAGCCACTTGCCCTGTCTGAGCTCAGGGCTCGCCAGGGAATGGGAGAGCGCGATGGCCCCCGGGGTGAGGGAAGGTCCCCCCCAAAGCTCGCTGGGCTCCTGCCCCTGCTTGCTGCCACCCGTGGAGCCCACAACAGCAGGTGCGCCTCTCCAGGGAGCGGCCCCGCCCGCCTGCCATTCCCTCCCCAGCGCCCCCTTCACGGGACGTGGTCGTTGCCACCCCCAGAGAGGCTGCAGAGATCTCTTCCTGCTCCGCTTCTCCCTCCTCTCGGCGCCCTCTACCCCCAAACGTGCGTCTGTGACCCCCTGCCGCCCCCGTGGGAGACTCGGGTGGAGTTCCTGGCTCCTGGCTTCAGCCTGGCCCAGCCCTGGCTGTTGTGGCCATTTGGGGAGTGAACCAGCGCATGGAAGCTCTCTCTGGGTCGCTATGGCTTTCAAATAAATAAAAAATGAAAAAGCTTTTGGAAAGAAGAATCTTGGGAGCTGCTGAAGAGGAAACAGGGCTTGTAAAACACAGTTCTGGGCGCCACACCCAGCCCGGTACGTCCCCGGGGCAGGGCTGTGCTGTGCAGCGGTGAGGCCCGGCCCCTCCCGCCCCGACCAGCCCCCGTGCCCACCGCGGCCCCACGAAGCCCCGCGGTTTAGGAGTCAGGATCTCCCCGACCATCCTGCAGCCCAGCTCCGTGGCCCAGGACGCACAGGGAACGGCCGGCTCCGCCCCGCTGCCTCCTCGGCCCCCTGGCCCTTCGGTGTCCTGTCTCTGGGCCACAGTGTTGGGGGGTGGTGGCTCAAATCCTCTCATGCCACTTAGTCAGCTCAGGCAGGGCACTCACCCACCCTGAGCCCTCGCTTGAAAAGTGGGGAGGGGGCAGAACCCACTGGAGGCAGAGTGCAAGCACCGCACCTGGCGCTCACGGAGCGGGCGTGGCAGATGCCAGTGTGGCACGGCCGCCTCCACCACGTACCGCCCGCATCCCGTGATGCCCCACTTCCCATCCGCTCCCTGCTGACGCGTCTGGGAAAGCAGCAGAGCACGGCCCAAGTGCTTAGGTCCCTGCACCCACATGCGAGACCCGGATGGAGTTCCAGTTCCTGGTTTTGGCCTGGCCCTGCCACAGCCACTGCAGTCATTTGGGGAGTGAACCAGCAGATGAAGGAGAGCCCCCCTTCTCTCTCTCTCTCTCTCTGTCACTCTGCCTTTCAGATCAATCAGTCAACCTTAGAGGAGGACAACGATGATGTGGAGGAAGATATGCCAGTGGGAATCTCCGTCTAAGCCCTGGGCAGGGACAGACGGTCAGACTTGCAGCACCTCCAGATGTCTCGAGGCAATGCCCCCCATCCCTACCCCTTGGCCGTGCCCTTGGCCTCAAAGCAAACGAGAACACACAGGACCAGAAAGCCCCCCGGACGGACAGATCCGTGCGAGCCACACGCAAAGGCAGCGGGAGTGGACCGTTCCTTCAGCCGCAGGTCCCCCAGCGCTGCAAACACAGGCCGGGGCGACCCCTCCCGCCAGGCCGGTCCACCCGCGAAGCAGGCTCCCAATTACCTCGCTCCGGTTTGAGCCCTGCAGGGGGCGGCTTTCTCTGCACTTGCTTGGTAGCTTGGAAAGAAAAGTCCAGAGACAGCCTCAGTGTCACGAGGCGTCCACGGCGGGGCGAATCATGCAGCAGGTGTGCGGCGGCGGGGGGTGGGGAGGGTGCTCAGGGGGCAGCCCAAGGGCGGACACCGCCCACCTGCAGGCAGCCGGGGCACAAGGTGTGCCCTTGTTTCAAGTCGTTGCATGAAGTTAGTGGAAGAAGCGAGGTCAAAGTCACACACGAAACCCAGCCAAGGTCGGCAATGACCCCAGACCAAACCTCTGTGAGAAAGCACCAGCTGGGGAAAAGCAAGCCACCAGGCCCGCAGGCACCACCCCACGCGGCCAAGACACACAGCGGATGAAGGGCAGGCCCTGAGTGGAGATACCAGGAGCCAGGCCAGGCCCCAACCACAGCCTGCACCCAGAGCCACAGACTCCCTGGCACCACTGATGAGCAAATGCAGACCAGGCACCTGCCGCGTGGTGCAAAATCTAAACTCGGCCGCCTGGAGCAGGCCACCAGGGCCGTGGGAGAGAGGAGACGCCCAGCCAGGCTGTCCCTCACCTGCTACAAGGGGGACAGTTCCCAACAGCACCACGGACGCCAACCGGCTCGCCGGAAACTGCCCAGGTCATCAAAGCCGGCAGTGGTTTTTCCCCAGAGCCCTGGAGAGCGGGCAGAGCCGCTGGCTGCTCAGCCACGACCCTCGGCTTTCGCCCCCGGCAGTGCCGCTACCCGGGGCTGAGCCCTGGCCAAGCCGCTGCCCCATGGGTCTCACCTGGGGACTGAAATGCCTCACACCAGGGGGTGGGGGGGCAGCGCAGAGAAAAGCCCCCACCTGCCCCTAATCAGTTACAGCCGCCCCTCCCTCGAGCTGGTTAGAATCAAGCAGGCAAACGCCCGGTGCCTCCATTCGCTCCCTGATGGAAACACGTGGGGCTTCAGCACTCCCCAGCAAACTGTCCACAGGATTAAGGTGAACGTGAGCCCTCCGGGGCTGAGCAGGCTGCAAGGCGCGGAGCAGCTCCGAGGGCTGTTAAGTGCCAGGGGAACCCGGCGGCCAGGGCTGCACCTGCTGGGAGCTCCCCAGGCCAGGATCGGGGAGAACACCCTTCTCACCAGTGCCCGGCGGGGTCTTGGGGGAGGGCGTGGTTTTCGCGGGAATCCTGGTGGCGTTGGCTGCGCCTTTCTGGCCTGGAGGGGCAGCTCCCCGGGGTGTGGCGATCTTCGTTCCAGTTTTCCCATCAGCCCCCTGTAAACCGAATCAGGGTAGAGTGGTTTTTACCGTGCCAAAGAGGACTGCCACCTAGCGCCAATGCCAGCCCCGTTCCGCCACCAGGACTCTGAGGAGGCCACGACCGGGACATCCCTTTGCCTACCAGATGCCACAAGGGCCTTCTGTCACACAAGCCCACAGCACCACCCACCTGCCCGCATCTCCACTTCCTCCCAGAGGAGCCCTCAGCGTGGTGATCAGCAGGAGTCCTGCCAACGATTCCCGTGGGAGCCATCGGTGTGGCCCCGTGGGCAGGCACGGGCACACCGGGCCGCGGTGGCCCCATTGCTGCCTCTCATTATGGGTTTATTTGGTGCTGGCTGCTTCCTCAGAGGCCCTTGGAGACACTGTTTGTGGAGCCCGACCCAAGAATGCTGCAGAGCGAAGCCACTCTTCCGTTCTCTCCCAAGCGCCACCGAGACGTCAGGTGTGCTCGGGGCCCGGGGTGAGGAGCAAGACCTGGCACAGGTGGGGGCAGCTGTGGGTTTGGTTCCTCAGAGGCGCCCGTGAGACACACACAGCACAGACTCCAGTGAGAAACTGACACTAGCCAGGGAGCAGGAGCTGGTTCGGGAGGGACAGGTGTGGCCGCCAAGGGTGAACCAGAGGCACTTCCGGTTACCAAAGTCAGGAGGAGCCCAATTAGAGGGGCGGTTGCCAAGCCAGGGTCCCAGCAGGTGTCTTGGGGGCTGCTGCTGCGAGGGGCCCGGGCAGCGGAGAGGCATGGCCTCGAGCCCCCTGCCCCTGGCCCGAGTCCCGGCGAGTCTGCACGTGCGGCTGTGCCACCGCTCCTCGGGGGGAGGGAGGAGGTCTCAGCGCCTGGAGGACTGAGCACTCGGGCAGCCTGCTCTTTCCAGAGGTCGAGTCCTTACCTTGAGCTTCATCTCCTTTGTTCCAGAACTGCCATTTCGGGGTGTGACAGAAGAGACGTGTTTAGGAGAGGAAGCTGGCTCTGGGCACACGGCAGGGCTGGAGGGTTTGATCAAAGGGTCTGAGCTACCAGGAGAGGGGCGTTTGGGGCTAGGGCAGGGCCTAGTTCTCTGGGTGTTAGCAGAGGAAGGTGTGGATGGCTTAAACACAAACATAAATAAAATCAAAACAAAAGTCAGCACATGGCGAGGGAAACAAACTCAAAGATGGACAGCAACTAAAAATAAATAAGGCAGGTCCCTGCTTAACGCGGTCATCCCCCAACGGTTCACATCCGGGTCCCTCAGCAGCCCCTCTGATGGGCAGGAACAGGAAATGTGAGCCCTCCTCATCCGACAGCCACGGCCACGTGCACGTGATGTTCCTCACTCCCACGCGGCGGCGCTTGCAACAGCAAGCGTGCAAGATGGACAGAGGTCTGGGTGCCCTTTCTCCACCCTGGGGTCTTCCTGAGCCCCTCCAACTTAGGACAGCCCCGGCTCAGAGGTGCTTCTCAGGCGCTAACGCAGTGGACGTGGCCAAGGCACGTTTCCCAGGGGAGCATTCCCACACTGCCACGGGCCAGATGCGCCACCCAGAGGGGCGCTCACGTTTGCCCACTGGCCCTGGGCCTCTTCCCACACTGGCGGAACCCTGTGCCTGCCCTGAGTCCTGACGATGCCGGCGGCAGCGCTGAGGCTGGGTGTGTGCTTGCATCCCGGCAGAAGTCTTGGCAGATCGGATCTTAACGCCGCCTGGGGCATCCTAGTTGGGCTGAAGCGGACTCTGGCACTTGGACCTAAGGTTTTAGCCTGGCTGGGGTGGGTGCCCCATGGGACTGGGGGCCACGTGGCTGGAGGCGCTCCGAGAGGGAGCGACGACACCTAAAGGATGGCCGTGACTCCACGGTTTGTCCTGACTGCCTCTGTGGGAGTCTGACCAGGAAGCGTGGCCCCGGGAGAGGAAGGGGAGAGGGAATTTTACTCTGCATCACCAGGAATCAAAGAGGCTACGTCCAGAGGGTCCCACGGAAGGAGTCAGCTGCAAAGCAGGGGCACGGGGCTTCCCGGTGAGGCCTCGGGGCACGCGCCAAGGCGGAAAAGCTGGCCCGGGCACTGGCAACCCTCCTTCCCCAGCTGCGCAAGGCCCCTCCCCACACCTGGCCACGGTCTGCTTGCTAGTCTGTGAGGCAACTCCAGGGCAGAGAGGCTGGGCCTGGGTGTGTGCCGACTGAGCGGATGAATACATGCACGCATGAATGAGTGGGTGCCTGCATGAGGCTGGCGTCCCCCCCACCCCCGCAGGGGGTCCCTCAGCACCTCCCTCCCGGGCCAGCCCTGACTGCGGGCCTGATGAAAGGCCGCATGTTCCAGGCAGGACTCCTGCTGCAATCATTAGCTTCCTTTAAGGGAAACAGGCTTTCCCTAGGGCCACGGTGGGACTTGCAGAAAAACACCACTGTGCGGTTACGGGAGCCTCTTCCAAGTCACATCATCATGGAGCGAGGGACCACGGGGAAGGGAGAGGTGGAAGGGGCCGGGCCACCAGGCTGCTTCACCGGCCGCTGCCGGCTGCACACCGCAGATGGACGAGGGCCGTGGGGCCTGCGCCTCTCCGCTCAGCAGGCAGGGTGGGGGGCGGTTTCCTCCCTCACTTCCCTGCCCCCCCAGCAGCCCGGCGGGAGCTCGGGTGCCCAGCCCCCTCCCGCCTGCTCGGCCTGTTCCCAGGGATGCAGCCCCCGGCACAGTTCCCCTGCCCTCTGGCCTCCCAGCCCCTCCCTGCAGGGTTTGCCCAGAAGCCCCTGAGGTTTCTCTCCGCGTCCTGAGTATATGTGAGGGGACTGCAAAAAGTTTTCAGGGAAATGGAATCTGAAGATTAGCTTGTTGCTGGAGCAAGTGGATTTGAAACCCATGCCTTTGTTTTTTTCTTAATACACATTTCCCATGAACTTTCTGAAGACCCATTGTATGCCTGGCTTAGATCTGTAGTGCAAGACACGCAAAATGCAAACTTCTCAGCAGAGAATTCAGGCCCAGCTTCGTCTGCTGTCAAAGCCACATCCAAACCGCACAATGAGCTGCGTGGATTCGTCACAGCCCCGCCCTGGCCGAGGGACCACAACTAGGACCAACGCTGGGCTTTTAAAAACCTGCACAAAACCGCGATGCATTTCAAATAGCACTTTCACTTCGGTGACAACTGCTCCCCCCACGCTGTAGAGGGGAAAAACTCAGACACAAAGCACAGCTTCCCAGGACACCTGACCGGCCTCAGAGGACCTCCCGCTGCCATCCACTCACCTTTGCTTTTTTGTCATCGCTTCCAGTCCCATCTTTGCCTTTACTGACCAAGCGAGCTGACAAGATAGAAAACGAGAACGGATGTTACACCTGCTCCTCCGAGCCACAGAAAGAGCCAGGCTGTGCCTGCAAATCGGCACGGCACATTTTGTTCAGCTGGGTTTGGAAGAGACCCAGGGGATGTTCTGCCCCTTGAGCCTGGAAGGCCTCCCACGGTTAGTATCCACACGGCACGCCAGGGGCACTGCACGGAGCGGCCTGGCAGCGGGGGCAGCAGGCTGGCTGGAGGTGGGGCCATGCAGAAGGGACGCTGCGTGTTGACACAGGGAAAGTGGACGGTGCAGGCGCCTCTACCCATAGACTCCTTTCTGGTCTGTGGCAGGGTCAGCCCCACCAGCAGGGCCAGCGCGCATCAAAGCCTCAGGACCATGGACAGGGCCGGGGCAGCTTGGCCCGGCCACCTACAGGACCTCAGGTTCAGGGTGGGGGTCGTCTCCACCCTGTGGCCTCCCTCGGCTTTGGCTTCCTGAGCACCCGTAGGGCCTTGGGGCCGGCTGGCACCACCTCTGGGTCCCCTGCCCATGCTGCCAGCAGAGACGGCTGCGTTCCTCCATGGCCGGCTGCACCCACCCCGGAGCCTCCAATACCTTCCCACTCCTCCCCCAGCCAGGGTGGGTCATCCTCCACGACCCCTCCAAGGAGACTAATCCTGGCCACTTCCCCCAGTTAGCTACGAACAAAGTCGCATCAAACATCCCACTCACTGCCTCTGCACCACATCGCACACAGGGGGCTTTGCTCGGGAGGCCACGCCCCTCGGCGAGCGCAGGCCACCGCACTGCGCGCCCTCCTCCGCGCTTCTGCGCTCGGCGGCCAGCGGCCGGCCCTGGTCCCTGCGCGCCCACTGCCCCGTCTGGGTTTCCGGTGGGCCTCCCGCAGCTGCTGGAGCCTGGATTCCCGGAGCGACCAGCCTCGTTCTCCGACCCAGACGGGAGGGGCACCCCGGGGCCTCTGAACAGGAGCCCCAGGCGGATGCGACTCACACGGTCCCTTCCTCCACTCAAGTCAGCTCCCCCATGTGGCAGCAAAGCATGTGCTGGCCCCAGGCTTCCCCACGGGGGCAGTGCTGCACCCGCCCCCTTCCAGGAGGGGCGGCAAGTGGGGTCGGCGAACCTGGGCGATCCGTGCAGCGGAGCCTGCCCAGAGGTCACGGTGCACCTCGGCACGGAAGGCCCTGGCAGGTCCTGCCGCAGCCAAGCCTGCTTAACTTGCTTTGCCTTGTTCCCAGGCTCCGGAGTGCGGAACCAGGCCCCACCCCCACCCCCCGCCCAGCGCGCGATGTGCAGCCGGATATTTCAGGAACCGCTGGAGTCAACTCTCAAGCCACGCTTTTCTGTCCCCTGCCGTCTCGATATGTGAAGTGGGATACAGACTTGGCTTTTCTGCCTTCAGCTTGTTTGCAGCCCTGAGCGCCAAGAAGCATCCATCCCCGGGCCCTGCACGGAGCCTACAATGCCCGGGTCTCAGCCCCCTGTGCCTGCCCTGAGGCCAGGCTGCCTCCAGCAACAGAAGCATGGCCTCTCCTCCCCTCCCACCTCCCCAGCCCCTGAGAGCCGCCACCAGCCAGGGGACTCCCCGAGGCTCTGCCCAGCGCGGGGTGGGGGCGGGGCATTCAGCGGTGTGTGTGTGCTGTCCACTGAGGAGACTGGCGGCCGCCAGGCCAGTGCCCCCTGCATCCCTGGCAGGAAGGAAGGCGGGGCAGGGAGTGGGGAGGGTTTCAGATCACCCCTTCCTGGACTCCGAAGTCAGCTTGGTCACTGCTCTGTGACCTTAGGCAACCTGCACTGCGTCTCTGAGCCTAGGTTCCCTCATCTGTGAAATGGGACGCATAATGCCCACAAATCCGAGGCACACGGAGATTTGGGCAGCACCACCCTCTGTCACGGGCAGCGGGGCCGTGCTGGGTCAGTCGAGTGGCCAGAGAATGGGAGAGGGCAGAAAGCGCCAGATGGGGTCGGTGACATGCAGATGGGCGGGCAAGCGTGAGAGCAGCGCGTGCTACCAAGAGCCTCGGGCCGGCCGACGTCGGCGCTCGGGGGCAGTGCCCGCAGCCTGGGCAGCCACGGGAGGCACCGGGGAGGGAGCAAGGGTGCTCAAGACACAGACCTTTGAGCTGCGGGACCCGGCTGACGGGCCTCCCGGGCAGACCAGCTGCGGGGTGCTTTCTAGACGGTTCCGGAAGACCAGCCTCTTGTGTGTCCCGTCCCAAAGAGGGGCCCTGGGCCTCTTGCTTCTCTCCAGGGCCCCCCGGCAGTGCAGTCCCTTCCAAATCCGGCTTGGAGTGTGCCAGCTCCTGCTCCTGGTGCTGCACACAGGCTGTGATCTCCCCGTGCAGGGGGAGCTCAGGGGGCGCCTCGGGCTCTGCTGCCAGCAGCCCCGGGGGGGCCGGGCTGCACCCCACGGGCACCCAGGCCTGGGTCTCTGTGGCAACTTTGGAGAGGAAGTCGACAGGGAGTGGTACGGCACCGCCGGCGGGGAGCCCCGGGGTCCCGGGGGGTGGCCCACCTCGGCCTGGAGACACCTGGGAGGGGGGTGACTCCTGCGGGGAGGACTCATCGATGTCCTGGTCCTCATCCACCTCTTCCGGGCCGCCAGGCCTCTCTTTGCCCTGGTGCCCCTCCGGGCACGCCAGCAGCTCAGGGCTTCCCTCGGCAGCCACGGGTCCTGGCCCTGGGGGCTGGTGTGCGGCCTCTCTGGGCCCTTCAGGCAGAAGGGGAGTCCCAGACAGGGCAGGCACGTCCTGGCAGATCAGGCTGGGGGGCCCTGGGTCCGAGGCCTGGCCTCCTTGGAGCCCCAGCTCCCTGCCCAGGCTTTCCTGGGCCTTGATGATCTCAGGCCCCTTCTGCAGAGATCCGGGGGACACAGGCTTCGGAAAGGCCAGGCCCTCCTTGGCCAGGTCCCCATGTGTTGGTCCCCACTCTTGGCGGAGCTCCTGAGGGCCTCCTGGTGGAGGAGGTTCTGGGAAGACGGGATGCTGCTCAGGAAGGGGTGTGACCAACTCAGCCGAGGCTTCTGGCTGCTTCTGGCCCACAGGCTGCCCAGGTGCTGCCCTCTGCCAGCTGGCAACTCTCAGCGCCTCTGGATTTGAAGAGGCAGCAGTGGTCCAAGGTTAGCGAGGGCGTGTGCAGTGTTTAAGAGAGGGGACCCGACTGCGACGTGGGAAAGGGCGTTTTAAACAGCGCAGCCTAACAAAGCAGGAGCCCCTCCCTGGGCTTATCCAGGGGTCTTGTGTGCTTGAAAGGCCAGCACCAATGAGGGGTCCACCTGCCACCAACTTCCTGTGTGACTGCGTGAGCACTGCCCCTCTGCGGGGCCTCAGTTCCTCACCTCGGCCCTGGGGACCTCCCAGGCCCCTTCCGGCATGGGCATCACTCCTGTGCTGGGCACAGGGACGTCACCATCTCTGGAGCTGCCCTGTGCCCCGTGCCCTGGCACCAGAGGAGCTGCTCCCCAGCCCAGAGCACCTGCGTTCCCCGAGGCGCCTGCATGGACCTGGCGGGTCCCTTCCCCACCCTCTCTCTCTCTCTCACTGCTGCCCACCATGCCCGGAGCCTGCTCTGGGAGACTGGATGCTCCAAGCTGCGTGAGGATCAAAGATGGCCATTAATGGACTGGCCACGGTTGGATTCCTTCCAACAGGAGCACACTCGCGAGGCTGGCACGGCCCGGCGTGGGGCAGATCCCGGGCCAGGTCTGACCAGCCGCACCATTGCTGCACGCCCACCTAGCCGGCTCCAGCTTTCTCATGCAAACAAGCGCCCCCTGTGTTAGGGACAGGCGACCTGTGCGGTTCAGTTTCCCTACTGAACACCTGCATTTCTCCTGCCTCCAGCTCTCAGAATCTCACCTGCTACCAAGAGACTACCCGTCCTCCTGCCCAGCTCGCCTCTAGGCCAGACCTGGACCCCAGAGGATTCACTTGCGGGGAGGGGCTCAGACATGAGGGAGAGGTGGGAGAACACTCGGGCGCAGCCGTGGACACACGGGCGACATGGGGACCCCGCGGGAGTCGGTTGGGCCACGGGCACCGCGGGGAGGCCGCCTCAGCTCGGCTTCACCTCTGCCCTTGCCCCAGGCCCAGCTCCCGGGCTGACCTGAGTCCTCCTGGCTGTGGGCTGGCACAAGCCCAGCTGTCACAGGGGCCGGGGGAGTGGACCAGCAATTAGAAGGTCTCTGTCCGTCTGTGTTTTGTCTCTGTCTCTCTGCCTTTCCAATAAATAAAGATCTGTGGGAAAAACGCTTCCCCTTCTTTAAGACCCGGGCACAGGCGACCACTTCTAGAGGATATATTTACGAGGTCTCCACTTTCACCGAAGCTCAAAACCCGACCTCAAGGAAGCGGGAGTCGGGATTCTAGAATCTCACACAGACGGGGACCCCTGAGGGACTCACCCCTAAGAACGTTTTTAAAGCACTCTGCCTTCACATGTCAGCCGAGAGAACCATGAGCCCACAGAGGGCAGTGACCCCTCTGGGAGCAGGGGTGGAGACTGAGCCTCAACATACCCCCCGGGACCCCTCTGTGGGTGCAGCGCCTCCTACAGCCAGATAGCCCAGGAGCGGCCTCCACGCCGGGCACGCCGGCACATCCCTAGCACTCTCCGGAGTAAGCAGCGTCTTCCCAGCTCCGCTGCCACCCGAAGCTTCCACACTGTCCGCGAGACGGCCAAGGTCATCTGCCCGGCAGGTGACAGGGAACAGACCCAGCCCAAGGGCCTTCTCTTTCTGACCTCTCCATGTCCTAAACCCAGGAGGCTCTCAGACTTCCAAAGGTCTGGAAATGCCTGTGGCAAATGGTTACAGAAAACCCGCTTTTCTGGAACACAGAAGAGACCCGGATGATGGTCTGGAGGCCGCACAGGACCAGGCCTGGGCAGTGACCACGCGGAGGAGGTGCTGCTCGGGGACAGGCCTGCGGGCACTCACACTCGCCTCACCGTGGCCACTCCTTCTCAGCTCCCTGCCCGGGCAGGGCCAGCTTCCCGCAGGACACTGAACACCTTGGAACGAGCAGACTCCTCCCTACCCCCCAGTGCTCCCTCTGCCCTGCTCCCAGCCCCCGGCTGCGCCGGCACCTGTGGCGCACTGACCTTGACTGTGGCACACTGACCTTGAGTCACATGTCCCGCAGCTTGGTCTTCCAGGTTGGGGGTGTCTCCCACGCCGGCTTCTTCAGCTGGTGCCCGCGTCGGCAAGTGAGGAGACGAAAGCAGAGAGAGTTACTGACTGCACTCAGCAGGCCCCGGGCCTCCGGCACACTTCTAAAGCGCGCGGGGAGGGCGCGCCCTACGAGCCTGGGTTCCTCTGCAGACGTTACCACAGGGGACGGCGGGGACAAGGGTTCACCGGACACGAGCCATGACACCCGCGCACCTGACGGGTGACTGCGCCTTCCCTGCAGTCCGGGCCTCACTGCACCAGGACGCACAGGATGCACGCAGTTAGAGGAACGCTTTGCTGCCCGGCCCGCAGAGTGCCGGGAAGGTGGCGGGTCCAGGGAGAGAGAGGCCGTGGCTGCAGCAGGTGGTGGTGGTGGGGGGGCAGCCAGCTGGGCCCCCACACCTGCCACGACCCCACCTCTGCTAAAACACAGGCGCCAGGCCACCACCTCGGCGGAGAGCACGCATGACGCACAAGCAAGGGTCTTTGAGTCACGAGACAGCTACACAGTGACCGCACGGACGCCCAGCCTGGCGGCTGTCCCGGGGCTGCCATGGTGCGGGTGGGCTCATGGGCAAGACCTGCCTGGGGGTCCCTGCAGCCAACACCGTGCTGCCTACAAGGTGACAGCGACAGCCTGGGCATCTGAGAATAGCACCAAGAAGAAGCTGGGCCAAGTGCCCAAGAGCACAGTGCCTGGCGGGCGTGGACCAAGTTTCCAACAAGGTTACAGGAACAGGAGAGAGGTGCGGGGTGACAGCAAGGCCAGCTAAATGGTGGCATTCCTGTGTCCCTGCCAAGAGGTGGGGAGAGCTAACCCACCTTCCTGGAAGAGCCACAACCTGGCCTGCAATTGAAAGCTGCTGCCGGTGAGGGGCGCTCGGAGACAGGAAGGGAGGCGGCAGGTCGGCTCCGGCTGGGCAGCGCACGGCTGAGGGCCACTCCCCGCTGTCCAGCGAGGCAGGCCTGCCGCACGGGCAGCCGCACTGACCCGACGGGGGCACCACCGACGGGACGGGATCTGCCGCCACTGTGGCTGAGAGCTGACCCCAGTACGCAGGCTCCCACCCCACCCCACTGAGGACGCGGGGTCGGGAGCAGCTCTGGGGGAGATTCACTGGAGAGAGGGGCGTGGGGTAGGGGGTGGCTGGGGTGCTGGTCCAAGCAGGTGGCACCTGCAGACACCAGGCTGTGTCCCCTGTGGGATGGGTGAATGTGGCTTGTGTGTGTCCCCTGTGGACCTGATGTGAGAGCTGGTGAGAGGGGGCACGTGGGGCCCTCCAGTGGTATCCACAGCCGGCTCTGCGGCGAGGACAGTGCAGAGCGAGGGCTCTGTGGATGGAGGCCGGGATGGGTGGGGCAAGAATCTAGAAGAATCAGACAAAGTCCACACAAGAGAGTGGCCTTGAAACAGCTGCAGGGCGTGTGTGGAAGTTGTGTTCCGCCGGCCCAGCTCTGGGACTACAGAGGCTTTGGGATGACCTGGGGCGACGGTGGGCTCCAGACTCCGCCAGGACCTGCATCCCAGGCAGGGACCAACGTCCCACCAACAGCCGTGCAGGACGGCGGGAGACAGAACCGGGCTCCTCCACAGCCGTCAGATGCCCTTGGAGAGCGCCCTCCCCCGCACCCCGCCCGGGAACACCTCCTGGTGCGTGAACTGGAAGAGCAGAGGTGGCTCCGCGGGGGTGACAGCAGGGGCCGTGGGCCTCCCCAGTGGCTGCGGGGAGCACCGTTGGGGACGCGTCCCTGACACCGCAGGAACCCTTCGGGGGGTTGCAGCCGGGGGCCCCAGGCGGGTGGCGCTGGGGACCGCCCTCACCTGTGGTTCCTTCGGGGATGTCCGCGTCGGGCTGGGCGGCGGCCTGCTCGCCAGGGGCTCGCTCATCCACTAGGGGCGCTGTCACGTCTGGAAACCACCGAGAGCGGCTTAGGGCGGCGCCGGGGGCTCGTGCAGGGGCAGCAGGGGCAGCGCGCGCGGGCAGCAGGCCCAGTCCGCATGCGGGGAAAGCACCAGCCCACGGCCGCGCGCGGGCGGGCAGAGCCGGCGGAGGGGCCCCGAGGTCCCGGGGGTCGCCCGCAGCTGTCTCTGCTTTCAAGCCGTGCAGGAAGGCAGGACTGGGACCAGGCGGTGCAAGGCGCCGGGTGGGGCCTGTGGTTTTACTGGGAGGCCGTGAGCGGGCCTTTTGGCCTCTCTGGGCCTCAGTTTCCACATCTGCAAAGTGACAGCGCCCCTTGCGGGCGACCTCCACGAACCGTTCAGCTCTAAGGCCCTGACCCAGAGCTCCCGGGGGAGGCGGGATGGAGAGAGCCCAACCAGGCCTTGCCGTGGCCTCTCGTCCAAACACTCGGCAGTGGGCACTCATCCCTGGCCCACACTAGGACTCGCCAGCTGCGGTGGTGGGAGAGGTCACCGCCGGTCAGCGCCCGCCTGCTCCGGGGTCTGCCCTGGGGTCCAGAGAGCAGCAAGAGGCGGCTGGGCGACCCTCCGGGCAGGATGCCCGCACGGCAGGTGACCCGGCAAAACCGTCCTAATGGACAAGCAGGGAACAGTGGGCTCACAGCCCCTAAGGAGAGCAGGGGCATTTGGCCTGCACTCGGGGAAGGGGTGCCACACCTGCCACACCTTCCAGGGACACACCAAGCCACCTGCAGGCATGTGACAGCCACTGTCTGGATTAACCCACAGGTGGCGGGCGCTTGTGGGGAGGCTGGGGCCTGGAGGGGCGCTGAGCCGGGACCCTGCGCCCCACAGGGAGCGTGGAGAGGGGGACGGACAGACACCGTGGACGGAGTACTCAGAGCCCCTTCCCACGGCCCTCCCTTCTCCCTGGAATTCCTCTACCAAAGAGGTTGAAAAGCAAAACGCTTGCCGTGCCTGCCTCCCTCGCAGCCAGGGGCGGCCATGACGTCCAGCGCTCACCAGTGACACGGGACACAAAGCAAGAGCAGCCTTGCTTTCCTGGTGGAATGGGAACACGTTTGTGATCACTTTGCTTTCTACGTTTTCTGCTTAGAAGGCAAATGGGATGCCTGGAAGTGCAGCAGCTATCTTGCAACCATGAGGCAATAATCCAACACTTAAGGAAGACAGAAGACAGAGACAAAGAGCACCATACACCGGAGAGCTGCTGCCCGTGTCCAGACTCCTGACTGGGGCAGACGCCCTCTGCACACATGCACTCCGCTTGCTTGGGTTCCTGTCCCTGCAGTCAAAAGGGGTCTGGCTGACGCGGATGAGAAGAGGGTGATCAGAACCAGGGCTGAGGGACCTTAACAGGGACCCGCGCCCCAAACATCTGGGTGGACAGGTGAGAAGAAGAGCTGGAGCAAAGACCACGGCCGGGGCCCCAGAGCCACGGAACGAAGGCCACCAGATCCAGACGAGGCCCAGAGGGTGACCGGCCCCTTCCCTGGGCCCTGGTGGCCCCTGAAGGAAGAATGAAGGGGGCTTGCGAGGGGCTTGTGGGAGGATGACCGCCATGGGACCCCATGGGGCCAGGCACAGACCCAAGCACGGCTGCCCCCCACCCCCAGCACGGCCGGATGAAGCTGCCCACCCCCGGCCTGTGCAGGCTCCCGCAGCGCCGTCCTGCTAAGCACCCCGAGTGGCCGGGAGAGGAAGCGGCAGAGGCAGCCAGGAGGGGCGCAAAGCAGGGCCAAGCGCAGGCTGCAGGCGCCGGGTGGGGGCTGTCTGGATGGAGAAGCAGCACGAGGAGGGGCCCCACCTTCGGCCGTCGGAGTGCTCTTAGCATCAGAGGTCTCAGAGCCTGGTTCCTCAGATCCGTCATCGGCCGGGGTCTGCAGGGGAGACTCTGGAACATACACAAGGAGCCCCTCAGAATGGCTGCCTCGCTCCAGCCCCCTCGGACCTCAGGAGAAGCTGGACCCCAGGGAGCAGGAACGAGTCACGTGACGGAACCATGAAGCCACGAAGGGGCCAGCCCCCGTCCGCCCCACCCAGCCGCTGCCCGGGCCCCGGGCCCAGGATGCTGCCACGGCTGCCTGCTCCCGGAGAGACGGACGCAGGGTTTTCATCAGTGGGCGGTGCCAGTGGGGCAGGGGCTCCGACACCGAGAAGCCGGGGCGCTGAGCTGCCCGTGACCCCACTGCTTTCCCCTGGCTACGGACAAGACAGGTGGAGTCCTGGAAGCACACGGGACCCAACGCCCTCCCCGCAGGAGGAATCCGCTCTGGGCGCACAGAGCCCGACGAAAAGAGCTCCAGGCTGATGCACGGGACAGGCCGAGTTACAGAGGAAGTGTCCGTCTGAGGCTGAATCCCCCCCACCCGGCGCTGTCCTCAGAAGGCAGCATCTGCCTTCTCAACAGAATCAGGGCACTGCAGCCCCACCCCGGAGGCCGGGCAGGTCCCCTCCCCCGCGACGCCGGGAGCCAGTCCGCTGAGGTCCCTTTGTGGGCCTGTGGGGCTGAGCAAGCCGTGGCCTTACAACGCAGGGGCTGAGACTTCCGGAGGGCCCGGTGTGCAGGGAGCTGTGAGACCGGGACCCACAGGGACGAGCAGGAATGCAGTTACAGCCGAGCGCGCGCTAGGCTGCAGTCCCACATCTTCCTGCCAGGTGAAACAGCGCAATGACACCAACTGCACCTGCCTCCCCCGGCGCTGTGGGCGGGCCCTGAGCGTGGACGTCGGTGAAAGCAGTTGGCCAGTAGGAAGGCTCTGCCCTTGGGGACATGGTCCCCACCTCTGTGGAGGAGCCAGGTGTTTATGGGGGTGACCCTGGGCTTCCACATTTGTCTTGGTCCCACGGTCATCAGGGAAAGTCACGGTGGATCAGTGGATGAGTGTGCATGTGGATGGCTCTGTGGCTACGTGACTGGATGGGTGTCTGAATGGAAGGAATGCGGGATGGACAGAAGGAATGGTAGATGGACAGATGGGTAGATAAGTGGGCGGGGCAGATGGGCAAGATGGGTGGGCAGATAGAGGACAGAAGAGCGGATGGACAGATGGGCGGATGGGTGGGTGGGCAGATGGATGGACGGACGGATGGGCGGGTAGATGGGCAGATGGATGGATGGATGGATGGATGGGCGGGTGGATGGGCAGATGGGTGGGTGGGCAGGTGGATGGGCAGATGGGTGGGTGGATAGAGGACGGGTGGGTGGATGGACAGATGGGCGGATGGGTGGGCGGATAGACGGATGGATAGATGGATGGACAGATGGATAGATGGGCAGATGGATGGATGGACGGATGTGCAGATGGGTGGGTGGACAGACGGACAGATGAATGGATGGATGGACAGATGGGCAGACGGATGGATGGACGGATGCATGGATGGGTGGATGGATAGGTGGCCAGATGAACGGATGGATAGGCGGGAGGATGGGTGGACAGATGGACGAATGGGCAGATGGAAGGATGATCCAGATTATGATGGGCTAGAGGGAAGGATGACTGGATCTGTGCCCGGATAGAGAGGGATGGACAGATTACTGAACGTTTGGGTGGATGGACGGATGAAGTGGTAACGTGAGACTCTCGCACCGCGTTTCTGAGCCCTGTCAGGACTGCTCAGCGGCTGCTTTCCCTCAGCTTCCCCGCGTCTTGTCCTGGCCCGCGGAGGTCTCCAGTCTCCCTCAACCTCACGGACGTCAGCTTGGAGAACGCACTCAGCTCTGTGCGACAGAAACTCCTCCCCTTCACACACAGGGTGGTGAGCGGGTCTCCTCTGCGGCCCGTTCATGGCTTAGACTGGTATATGGAAGGCAGGGGGGCCTATCCCGCCTCTGCAGCCGGGCAGAGGGGCTCCACCCTGGCTCCACCACCTACCAGCTGTGCGCTCTGGCAGTTACCTGACCACCCTCTGCCTCGGTTTTCTCCCGTAAAATGGGCATGGCAACCGTGCCACCCACTCGAGGGCCTCCATGAGCATGAAAGTGCTTGAAGCTTGTTTAAAGCAGTAGCTATGTGCCTGCACGCGAGAAGCCGCAGGGAGCGGGGATGACGGCCGCCAGCCTGGATGAGGGGCCCAGCGCCCGCCGCTCCCCGGCAGCAACTTGGGTCCTTTTTCTCCAGTACTGGTCACGATGATGTGGCAGGGAGCTGGCCACTGTGCAAGATGGACAACTGGGCTGTGGCCAGACAAGGAAATCAAGCGTTACTGGGCAGTCACCGTGCACAGGTGGTCAGTACCCCATCCGGTACCTGGGGACGCTGCAAACTCCTGCCATGGCCCAGCACAGGTGGCTGGGGGCCTGCCTGCCTTCCCTCTCCCCAACTTCCCCAATTCGAGACAGAGCTGTGCCAGCTAAGGCC